CATAATTCAATCCACTACACCAAGTTTTATTATTATAAACACTGTGATAAACTTTATCCTTCCTTTCTTCCTCCCCCATCCCCTTCTTCCTTTCCTCACATCAAGGGGGACTGTAGGGTCAAAGGGGCTGCATTTTTAGTGCATTTGATACATATTTTGGGGGTCAAGTTTAAAGGCAGCTGAAGTAACTGAACACTTATTACCTGTCAGATGCTGTGTGAGGCACTTTAAATGTATTAACTCGCTGACCCTCACAGCAATCCTATGCACTAGATCCTACTTTTATCCTCCCTTTACAGGTGAGAAAACTGAGGCATGGAACCAGTGTCTACACTGCCTCAGGGCACACCCCTAGCCAGGGGCAGAGCTGGGATTTGCATGCAGCTGCTTCGGTTCTGGAGCCCGAGCTCTCATCTCATTTCATCATCACAACAGCTCGGGAGGCAGGTGTTATTGTCTTCATTGCTATGGATGGTGACATTTGATACATGTCGAGAAATTTGTCCAAGACCACAAACCAGTAAAGTAGAGCCAGTGTTGGCATCATGGGCTGTCTGGTTCCAAAGTGGGATTTCTGGGTCCTTCGTGAGGATTTCTGAATCACTTGGGAAGGCTCTGTCTTTGTGATTCTCCCAGCTCTGCTTTCCTCCCTGTGTTGGTTTTTCTTTTCTTTTCTTTTTAAAGATGACCAGTAAGGGGATCTTAACCCTTGACTTGGGTGAGTGAACTGGCCATCCCTATATAGGGATCCGAACCCGTGGCCTTGGTGTTATTAGCACCACACTCTCCCGAGTGAGCCACGGGCCGGCCCTCCTGTGTTAGTTTTTGTTCTTGGACTGGTTTTGCCATTTATGGTAGCAATAGCGCTTCCAGCTGCACCAGGACCACATACTTGCTTTTCCAGTCATTGAACAAACATCTGACCTTTGCCCTGACTGGCTCATCTTGGGTCACATACTTACCCCTGAACCTGTCAGTGTGACAATGGGGATGATCACCAGGCAGGGGAGAGAAACCCTTCCTCCACCTCCTTTTCTTCTGCTTTGATCCCCAGATCGGAGTGGATTCTTCTAAGGAATGTGAAGAGATGCTTATGCTTGGGCCGGCCCCGTGGCTCACTCGGGAGAGTATGGCTCTGGTAGCGCCAAGGCTGTGGGTTCGGATCCTATATAGGGATGGCTGGTGCGCTCACTGGCTGAGCATGGTGTGGACAACACCGAGCCAGGGGTTACGATCCCCTTACTGGTCAAAAAAAAATAAAAAAAAGAGATGCTTATGTTGGCATCAGCTGACACAGGGACAAAGTGGATATACTTACAGCCACATTGTGCTGCTCACACGTCTTGCATGGAAGCCGTCATATTTAATAGAGTGGTGAGAACAGTATCACCCCACAGAGACCCCACATTTTGCCAGTCGACTGGCATTTAGGTTGCATCTGTTACAACAGTCTTTGTGGCACTGGGTGTTCTGCAGAGAGTGGAAAAACGCTTCTCCATTAGGAACATCATGGATCAGGTTAAGAGGGGGCAGTTATAAGTAGGGGGTGAGCTACAGAAGACACGTAGGGGGGCCGCCTTGCCAGAACCTTTTCAAGTGGGTAAAATCTTCTCCCAAGCTCATCTCCATGTGCCTTTCCCCCTCCTCCAGAGAAAGGCTGTTTCCTCCCACTAAGTGAAAGACTCTTTTCCACGCTTGTCCTCCAGATCCAGCTGCCCTTGGAGACCTCAGCAGGCACTGTTGCCACCATCATGCTCACCCAGGGGGGCTGCTTCCCCTTTACTCCTGGGCTCAAGGGTGGACCAGACCCTTCCCTGAGCCCTCAGTGATTCATTGAAATAGACTGAAATTGTGAGCCAACGTGACTGAGGGCTCAGGAGAAGCAGAGGGGAATTATACACAAAGAAGATCGTAAAACTGGGTTCTTATTAGCTCTGACTGCTCTCAGTCCTGGTCTTTCTCAGTGGGTCACACACGGGGGCTGCTGCCCTCTTGTGGCAGAACTCCCCACCCCCCCCCAGCTTGCTCTTGAGTGCATGCAGGTATTTGGCCCCCAAACAGCCTCTCTTCTCCTGTGCCACCAATCACTATTTTCTGCCCTAGGAGCTGCCTTTTCTCTAGATAATTAGTGGGGGTAATGTCACCACCCCATCTTCAAGTCCTCTGTAGTCTAGGCATCAGATCACAAAATCCAATATCGGTTATAGCAAAGCATGCGTAGCCCCAGGGTAACTGTCTCCTTCAACTTCTTGTGACTCTTTACAAATGATAAGAGAAGCCAGGAGCAAAGCACCACTTAGCTTAGAAAATAGGCTTGCCAGTGCTGAGCTGTAGGCACCAGTGCTGTGATAAATTTGACATTTACGTAGGGGCAGGATTTACACTTGCACGGATTGGCACTAACTTCAGACACTAGAGGATGGTTGGAAAGAACAAGCCAGGCAGACCAGTCTGGCTGTATGGAAGTGAGGCTTTCAGACATGCCTTTGGTATGAGTGTGTGGCCAAAAGCCATAGATACTGTGAACCGTGGTGATGACCCATCCCATGGATCGTGTGAGACATGTCTGACATCACGCATTGCACACCGTTGACAGAGCACTCACAATACACCCAGGCAGAGGATACAGACATGACTCGGAGGGTCCTGCTCTCTTGCAGCTCACAGTGTAGGGGGAAGGCTGACTTGGCAGTACATGAGTTCATGTTATAATGGGGAGTGGCTTAAGTGCCAGAGGAGTAAAGCCAGGGGACAGCCACAATAAAACTGTCCTTCATGACCAAGAGGGGAGCAGCAATGGCATTGACTCCAACTATTCCATTTGCTGATTGCACAGCTCTAGCGGTCTCCCTGCTGTGCAGGCAGACTCTGGGAGGGGCCCTGCCCCCGTCTCAGAGACATTCTCAACAGCAGATCACTGCCAGTGGTTGTGCAATAGAGTGGCTGACAGGGAAGTTAGTCTTTCCTCCCAGTTTCCACCAGGCCACCCCAAAGAAGCCTATGATATAAATAAAAATCGTGTGTTTGCTGTCCAAACATAGCTAAGTGCAGTCCTTCGCCTCCTTCCCACCAGCTTGCCCCCAAGTCCTTCCTACAGCGGACTCCCTCAAGTCGCTCTTACAGTGGACTCTTTCTGAAATCTTTACTGTAAAAGTCAAATCCTTTCCCCTTTATTCTCAATCAGGAAAGATGAAGCTTTCACAGGTGATCTACTAGGGAATTTAGGGATAAACAAATGGAAATAAATTAAAGAAAAGTATGAGAATAAAAATGATCATCCATACAGTAGAGAATCCAGATTACAGATCCTTAACCCCAGCTTCAGGCCTGGTACTTCTGCTGGGACACGTGGACCCCAAGAGTCTCTGACACCTGTGATCCCTTGACTGAAACTGTTTTCCCCAAACACAGACATGGGGTGGGGCTTAGTAGGGAGGCGTGGTCTGATGTGGTTCCCCTATTTGCCTTTGTTCATCAGATTCCCTCTAACAGTTAAGCCACTCTGGTCTCTGAGCTGCTGGCTTCTGCAGTTGGACATACCTGGCTGGTGCCTCAGGTAGGAAGCCACCTCTGTTTCTCAAGACTTTCTTTGGGTCAGGGAGGCTTGGTTCCACTAATTTTAGAAGATGCATTTATTTCTCTGGGTCCTGAGGATTTCTCCAAACTGGCTTCCTGCCTCTAAGCCCTTTTGACCATGAATTCGACTCTGACCTCATACATGCTGTAGCTGGTGACAGGAGGTCACAGCCTCCTCATCCCCTCCTTTCCTACCTCTCCCTTGTGTGGGGCAGAGGTTTACAATCCCCCAACTTGGTGTTTATTGCTTTGCTCTAAGACTCGGTCTATGAAAATAGAGATACTGGCAGGTAGAGAACCTGGGACCTGGAAGAAAATTGGAAGTTATCGACTCAGTCTTTCTCAATGTGCAGATGAGAAAAAAAATCTATAAAGGTAAAAGGACCCACTCAGGGTCACACAGCTCATTAATGGTGGAATCAGGATAGAATGAGCACTGGATGGGAGGTATCCTTATTTCCAAAGTGGGTAACTTTGCAGAGGTTTTCATACTGTTCTCCTGGGAGCCCTGGGGGTTTGTGGGAGGGCTCCTCAGGGGCTGTCTGGGCAGAGCCATACCCCACCCCAAAGCAGCTCAGTTCTGATAGGCTTTGCATATTCGGTCCTGGGAAGATTTTGTTCCAACAAAGTGTTTCACAGTAAAAAAAAAATTGAAAACTGCCAAAGTATTCTGGGGATATTTAGGAGGGGATTTCAGTGATAGGGATGGAGACTTTGTCCTCTCAAATGCTTAAAATTCCTTTAGACAGAGAACTAAGATGCTTATTGCTCAGTTAAAGACAGGGCTTAAAATCCAGCTTAATGCAATTTGTTGTTGTTTTCTTGTTTCTTTTTACGCTGTCGTCTCAGGACCCCGGGACATCTGGCACCGGCTCCTCAGTGGTCACCAGCCTGGTTGCCAGTGGTGGTGGGCCAATTTGTTGTTATCATCTCCTTCCCTCTGTAGATTTCAAGAAGGGTAAATATGAATCAGAGAGAATAGGAGGGGAAATAAGCTAGAAAGGGACACCTGGGAGCAGGTTTGCCTCCTCCATTTGGCTCATTGTTGGCCCTGCCCTGAATGCACAAGACCAACCTGGTCTTCCCATCTGATGGCAGACATGGCAGAGGATGGAGAAGCCTAAAGAGGGGGACACAGGCAGAGTTGCAGGTAGAGTTGAGACAGTTTTGGGGTCAACCAAGAGCAGAGGTTTTTTTCCTCCATTCCATCTTATTCTGTACTCAGCCGGGCCTTGGGTTTATGGAATGTTGGTAACACGAGGAAGCTACCTCTAAAGAAGTGCAAGTTGGAGGCTAAGGGGGAGATCTTGGGTTGCCAAGCAAACGATGTCCCAGTAACTGTTCTCACATCTGTGATTTGAGTGCCTCGAATATGAGTTACTAAATAACATTTCCTTCCTTCTAACTTTCAACTAGATCAAACCATGGCCAGCACCACGGATGACACATCGAATTGGTGGTTCGGGTCTAATTATGATTTTCTAAATTTCACTGGCTTGCCACCTGTAGAAGAAGATGTCAGGCCCTGCAGGAGAGACATTGAGACACTCAACAAGTACATTGTGGTTGTCATCTATGCCCTGGTGTTCCTGCTGAGTGTGCTGGGAAACTCTCTGGTGATGCTGGTCATCCTGTATAACAAGGTCAGCCGCTCTGTCACTGATGTCTACCTGCTGAACCTGGCCATTGCTGACCTGCTCTTTGCCCTGACCTTGCCCATCTGGGCCACCTCCAAGGCAAAGGGCTGGATTTTTGGCACACCCCTGTGCAAGGTGGTCTCGCTCTTGAAGGAAGTCAACTTCTACAGTGGTATCCTGCTGCTGGCCTGCATCAGTGTGGACCGCTACCTGGCCATTGTCCATGCCACACGCACACTGACCCAGAAGCGCCATTTGGTCAAGTTCATATGTCTGGGCATCTGGTCACTGTCTGTGATTCTGTCACTGCCCCTCTTCCTCTTCCGCCAGGCCTTTCCTTTGTATGATTCCAGACTAGTCTGCTATGAGGTGTTGGGTAGTAACACAGCAAAATGGCGGATGGTGCTGCGGATCCTGCCCCACACTTTTGGCTTCGATTACTTCTTTGCCAAGCTAACAGTTCTTTCTTTGAGACTTGTAGAGTTTTGAGAAATGATCAAGGCCAAATGACTGAAGTTGACCTTGGGCACCAGCCAAGTACACTGTCGCAAATCAAAATCTTGCAGGGTCCTGAGATAACAGCAAAGATGAGAACAAAAACCAGATGAGGCCTTGGCAAGACCTTGTACCTGACCCATAGAAATGACCCCTCGCAACTCACATCTCCTGCTCTCCTGCTTTTCACCTTCCACATTTCATTCCCTCAATCGTATAACTTCGTATAATGTATGCTATACGAAGTTATTACGGGCCCACACGGGGCAGAAGCACCGGGCCATGCGGGTCATCTTTGCTGTCGTGCTCATCTTCCTGCTCTGCTGGCTGCCCTACAACCTGGTGCTGGTCGCAGACACCCTCATGAGGACCCAGATAATCAAGGAGACCTGTGAGCGCCGCAATGACATCAACAAGGCCCTGGATGCCACCGAGATTCTGGGCTTCCTCCACAGCTGCCTCAACCCCCTCATCTATGCCTTCATTGGCCAAAATTTTCGCCATGGACTCCTCAAGATCCTGGTGGCCCGTGGCCTTGTCAGCAAGGAGTTCTTGGCACATCATGGAATTACCTCTTACACTTCTTCTTCTGTCAATGGCCCTTCGAATCTCTGAAAACCTTCAGTGAAAGAGTATCTCATCTTTGTGAGGAAAGAATAACTGTGACCCCAAGGTTGGGGGGTCGTCTGGCTGTGCACAGACGCTGTCTGGGCTTGGGAGGAAGGCTGTGGAACATGGGGAAGTTGGGCTTTGGTGTCCTCAGGCCTGCTAACCCTCTGGGGAACTGCTGAGATGCCATAAAGGCCCGGCCTCCACACTCCATGAAAAGACAGCACCATCGTTTCTGCTTCATGCTTGCATCATGGTCCTGCTAACTGGTCATCAACATGTTCATGCCCAAGCCCAGTCTGACATTAGATCAGAGAACGGGGCTGCAGCTGCTCTCTTCTGCAGGCTGAGCGCTCTTGCCAGCCCTCTCAGGAACACCTCCTCTATGCTGAGCATGTTCCAGCCAGGCTGTTTGGTAGCTTTGAGTCCCCTAATCTGAACTCAGGGGACTGTTTTCCTATCTCAAGTATGTTGCAGAGTCTTCTGGGGACATTGAGGCAGGTGTTGTCTGAATATCAAAGCTTGCAGTGGCCTGTGATGGCAGTGAAAGCACATTCTCCCCTTGGGTGTGGTGGGTGCACAAAGGGGAAGAGGATTGGGAACCAGACCTACTGCATGAGAGACCCCTTTAGCCCCAACCAATGTCACAGACTGATGTGTTGGCACCATTTGCATATAGAGCCATGCTGAGCCATGCGTGGAACAAGATTAGCAGCTTTGAGCCCTTGCCCTCCTGCAGCTTTCAGTCTGACATATAGTATCAGCGACCCCACTAACTCAGACACGGTCATCAGCTGGTGGGATAGTCAGATATTTCTAACAAAGTTCTGCTCCATGCTGGCCCCCGTGGAAGGATCTGGTGTGAAATGGAGTAAAATGCGTGTGTGGTGCTGTTGGTTTTTTCCTGCAGTAGAATGAGGGCAGCACCCCCACAAAAGGTGACTCTCTCGGTGGATGGGCGGTGTTCCCTGCAGCTTTAATTCCTGCTAGAACTGTCCCTTGAGGTACAGAAATTCCTGTTTCTCCTCTGGCCCCAGGCTGCAGAGGATCTCCTTGTCCATAAGTAAAAGGAAATGTTCCTCCTGAGAATCTCAGCTTCACCTTAACTGAACCGTCATCTTCTGGGTTACACCTTGCCTGGCTCCCCCAACTGCTCACGCTTACTTGTAGTTATTTCTCTGTTTGCTTTCCCTCCTTGAAGGCAGAAACCATGTCTGTTTTTTTCACTCTGTGTGTGTCATGCTGCCTGGAGCCTATTCAATGCTCAGTGAATACTTACTGAGTGATTAAATGGGTGCTGAAAAGACCCCAGCTGTTTTGCGCACCATCTCCTCAGAGCACCTCTTACCTGTCTCTCCCGCTTCATCCTTCCTCTGTCCTCGGCAACCAATTTCACTCGTCAAGTTTGCCTTTGTGGTTGATCTTTACTAGATTTTTCTCTCTGAAAATGTTCCAAGTGAGTACTGAGGACATCAAGGTTCTTTGATAGCAATTGGTGGAAACTGAACTCAAACCAACCTAAGCGAAACAGAATGTGTTGGTCGATGTGAGATGTGGAAATCTCAGGGATGGCTTGAGGTAGGAAATGGGGTGAACCTCAGAGATGGGATTTTGATCAAGGTTGAGATTGGGATCAGGAATTGAGTGGGCAGGGAGGGTGTGGCTGCTTAGATAAGGTGGAAGGTCAGAGAAGGATGACTGTCAGGAATAGGGAGCGGTGCACACATAGGGAGAGGCTGGGTGAGTGAGATTCAGGGATGCAGTGAGGGGTTGGGGACAGGGAGATTCAAGAGCGGGTGGGACCAGGTATGGAGTGAGGCTTAGGAATGGAGTAAGTATGAGGGGTGGGGAGTCCCAGGGAAGGGTGTCAGAGCTGGAATGATTGTCAGGGATGGGTTAGTGGCCACGAGACACCACTGGGAGAGTCACCATCCTCTCTGGAGAACTGTCTAAGATGCTCTTCCAGGGACCAGGATGGAGGTTCCTCAGCCTGTCCTGCTCGGGGCTCTCCAGGCGACTGATGAGGACGAAGTGAGGGGCTCAAGCCCTAGTTGGTCTGACTCTGGAGAGACGATGAGAGGAATGCAGCAAAATGACTAGTAAACATATGAAAAGTTGCTCAGCCTCACTGTTAGGATAAAAAATAGAAGTCAAACAACAAAAAAGTAATTTGGAAGTGTTTTAAGTGGGGGAGGGATCTAGTCAGAACTCTTCAAACAAGTACAATCCTGTTTGATTAGATAGTTTACTGTGTCATGTAATCCTCTGGGTATGGCTCAAGACATGAATGATTTCTATTTTGGATTTTTTAAAGGCCAGGATTTTTGTACTTAATTAACATAGGACCATGACACATCAAAAAGTGGTGTTTCAATCACTAGATAGGGTGAGGGTTAGATGTCTGGTCAAGGCCAGGGTGGTGGTTTGCCTCCAGGAGGGGCCTGAGTCCGCAGTGGGATAGGATCAGGTAGGGGACAAGTCTGAGGAGAGGAGTGGGTGTCGGAAATGGAAGGGGGTCAGGGATGGGATTGTCATAGGGGAGGGGCGCACATCAGGATAAGGTGGGGGACAGGGATTGGGATGTGAATGTATGTTCCACACAATGCTTGCTGAATTTAAAATAAAAAAAATAGTCTGAGGAGAGGAGTGGGTGTCGGAAATGGAAGGGGGTCAGGGATGGGATTGTCATAGGGCAGCGGCGCACATCAGGATAAGGTGGGGGACAGGGATTGGGATGTGAATGTATGTTCCACACAATGCTTGCTGAATTTAAAATAAAAAAAATTTGCTTTTTCTCTTTAGCCTTTTATTCTATTAGTTAGGTAGGCTTGGTTAAATGTCCAGTCCCCAACTAATTACATCAAAACCTATTGTTTTCCCCTAAATTAGTTTTCCTTCTGACCAACCAAAGCCCCCAACATCCCTTGCCCCCTATCTAGTGGCCCATTCTTGTTAGTTCCAGCAAAAATATTCCTTGAGAGGGCCGGCCCGAGGCTCACCCATGAGAGTGTGGTGCTGATAACACCAAGTCCACGAGTTTGGGTCCCTACATAGGGATGGCTGGTTGGCTCACTGGCTGAGGGTGGTGCTGACAACACCAAGTCAAGGGTTAAGATCCCCTTACTGGTCATCTTTAAAAAAAAATTAAAAAAAAAAAAGATGTAATTGCATTATGTATATTGACCTTGTAATCTGGGACCTTAGTAAATCCACTTATTAATTCTGGTGGGGTTTTTTTTTTTTTTTAGTTAAGATTCTTTTGGATTTTGTATGTAAGCAATCATGTTATTTGAGAATAAAGATAGTTTTCTTTCTTTTTTTCATGCCTTTTATTTCTTTTTCTTGCCTTGCTTCACTGGTTAGGATCTCCAGTACAATGCTGAACAGAAGTGGTGAGGAGTGGACATCTTGCCTTGTTCCAGGTCTTTGGGATAAAGCATTCAATCTTACTAAATACGACATTAGCTACAGATATTTCACAGAGACCGTTTATCAGGTAGAGGGAGTTCTTTTCTATTCCTAGCTTGCTGAGAGTTTTAAAACTTTTTAATATTGAATGGATGTTAAACCTTTCATTTTCTTTAAGGCTCTGGACCCAGACTTCCAGGCTTTAAATCTCAGTTCTACTGATGACAGGCTTTGTGACTAAGGGCCGATTACTTAACCTCCCTCTTCCTTTTTTTTTTTTTTTTTTTTTTTTAAAAGATGACCGGTAAGGGGATCTTAACTCTTGACTTGGTGTTGTCAGCACCACGCTCACCCAGTGAGCAACCGGCCATACCTATATGGGATCTGAACCCGTGGCCTTGGTTTTATCAGCACCACACTCTCCCGAGTGAGCCACAGGCCGGCCCTAACCTCCCTCTTCCACTTTGTACGATGTGGGTAAGAATAATGCTCAGCTGGGGCCCGGCCCATGGCTCCCTTGGGAGAGTGTGGTGCTGATAAAACCAAGGCCACGGGTTCAGATTCCTACAAAGGGATGGCCGGTTAGCTCACTTGGGAGAGTGTGATGCTGACAACACCAAGTCAAGGGTTAAGATCCCTTTACCGGTCATCTTTTGAAAAAAGAGAATAATGCTCAGCTAATTCCTATGAGGATAAAATTAAATGTGTACCTGCTTGTGTTTGTGTGGGCACACACACACACACATTTAGAAGACTGCTTAGTATAAAATAAGCACTATTTATTTATTTTAAAAGATGACCGGTAAGGGGATCTTAACCCTTGACTTGGTGTTGTCAGCACCACGCTCTCCCAAGTGAGCCACGGGCAGCCCTAACAAGCACTATTTAATTGATAGCTACCATCATTCTTTTGGTTGACCACCTTATTTTGCTGAATTACTGGATTTCTCTGAGAAAGAATATATTGGACATAACTTTTTTGAGACCTTGCATTTCCAAAAATGCCTTTACTCTACTTTTCACACTTAATTGGTATTTTGGCTGAGAATTGAATTCTAGGTTGGAATTCATTTTCCTTCAGAACTTTGCAGGCTTTTGTGATTTCTTCTGCTTCCAGTGCTACTGTTGAGACTTCTGATGCTATTCTAATCCTTTTCTTTTCTTTATTTTTTTTGAATGGCAGAGGCAGGTTTAACAGTGCCACCTTGTCTTGTTAATGAGCCAACCCCAAAAGATGCAAGTAAAAGAAAGTTTAATCACACAGCACTTTTTACAGACTGTAAGCAGTAGGTATTCACATCTCCGCATGAACAATACACTGGGAAGCACAGCCTCACCAGACACTCTGGATGTTTCTCAAACAAGGTACCGATTCTGGGCTCCAAATGCCGCAGCATATTGTCCAGTTCTGTCTCTCCCTGGCCTGCACAGCACAGGTGTGGAGCCCACTTAAGGCTGACAAGATGCATCACTTCATGTTTTTTTTTTGTCTTTTTTTCTAATAAAAGTTAATATCTTTGCTTTTGGGATTTATTTTTTCCCAACCTTAAATGTTACGCACGTGCTATTCTAATTCTTTTTTTTTTTTTTTTTTTTAA